AGGGTGTTCGGGAGGCTGATGGTGGAGAGTCACAACTCCCTCAGGTGAGGATGTACCAGCCCTGCGGCAGGGGGGGGCGCGTCGGGGGGCCCCCAAAAAAATGGGGTTCCCTTGCCTGTGGGTGCAGCCATGACCGTGCCCTGCCTGGCATCTCTCATGGCTCAGCCTGCCGGGGAGTTTTAAGAAAAGCCCCACAGGCTTCTGCGCCTGGGGGTGCTGGGACGAGGCACCGGTCACGTACGTTACAGATGCGTCCTGCTTACAGCAGCGCTCAGCAAGTCCCCGATGCTCACAGCCTTGCTCATGTGTATGTGCACTTACAGGCAGAAAGCTGGCCCAGGATCTGCAGCATCCTGCATTGCTGCAGTTCGCTGCGGCAGTGGATGCACCAAGACGTGTGTTTCAGCTGTTCGTGGTGCAGGGGCTATGGCTGGAGTGCAGGACAGGGCTGACCACGGGTCTCCTCTCCCCAGGGATGACTACGAAGTGAGCTGCCCGGAGCTGGACGAGCTGGTAGCAGCAGCCCTGGAGGTCGATGGGGTTTACGGCAGCAGGATGACGGGGGGAGGTTTTGGAGGCTGCACGGTGACGCTGCTGGAGGCTGGGGCTGCGGAGAGAGCCCAGCACCACATCCAGGTACTGAGCAGAAAAGTGCCAGGAGATTGACTTAAAGATCCCAAGGAAACACTCAGGGCCGTGGCCTGGGGACACCGTTGAAGGTGCGCTCCTGAGGCACTTGGGGTCCGTGTAGCCCATCCAGTGTCGCGCAGGGATCGCCCCAGGTCTGTTGATGCTGCTAAGCTCTTGCAGGCAGTCCAGCACCGTCCTGGTTGCAGAGCACTGCCCAAGGACCTTACTGCATTGAGAAAGTGAGCGAAAAGGTGCTGGGTGAGCTTCAGGAAGGCTAAATCTATCTAGGGAAAAGGAATCGAAGCTGAGCTTAGGCAATGCTAAGCTTAACAACAGCAGTTACAGCCCAGGAAAGATCTCAGTGCTGTCATCAGGGTTCTCTAAATGAGCAGCTCACTGTGCACTGATAGCTGAAAATGCCAGCAAAAAGGGGGTGTTGGGAAACGGGGGCTGCGAATGAGGCAGAACCTCATTTTGCTGCTATATGAGATCATGGTGCACCCTGTAAATAGTGGGGGGATAAAGAAGGGGCAGAGGAAGGTGCCTGACCGAAAGGGCTGTGCCTCTGCCATCTGATGAGAAGCTGGAAGAGAGGGAACATGACCAGGAGTTACAAAACAGCGAAGGGCGTAGATAGGGTGAGTGTGGAACTGACCCTCAAATCCTCCAAAGTAAGAACCAGCGACCACTGGATGAGTCAGGAGAAAAAAGAGAGCCAAGGAAGCACTGCCCAGAGCTGGCTGTGAGTTTTCTGCTGTCACCAGAGGCTGTGGAACATCAGCAGGGTCAAAAGGGGGTTGGAAAAAATCACAGACAAGAGTCCATAAGGGGCTGCTGAAGGGTCAGCTTGGGGACGCGTGCCCCGTGCTGTGGATGCAGCGGCCAGGACAGCATGCTGTCCCCAAAAAGCATCTCACGTGGCTGCTGTTGGAGCGGTGGCCGGGCCAAACGCCTGGCTGGGCTGACCGGTGGGGCCTTTCTCCCCATGGCTCTGGCATCGCCAGCCCAGCCTCGTGCTGCGGCATGGTACAGCCCCCGAGCACCAGCACTTACTGCTCCTCTTGTCTCCTAGGAGAAATACAGCGGCACAGCCACCTTCTACCTCACCAAACCCTCCGGGGGGGCAAAGGTGCTGCCTCTGTAGAGGAGTGACCACGTCGCCTGGGCTGGGATCACCTCTCTCCAAGAGGCAGCTGCTTTCCTCGCTTTGCAAAGGAATCCATTTGTAGGGCTGCATCATTTGCCAAATAAATACAAAACATTTGCACTGTCGTTCTGCACCCATCTGAGCTGAGCCAAAGTCACCGGGGACCTTTTCCTCAGAGGAGACTGGTTGAACTCCAGTTTGCACTGGTGTAATGAGGCATTACCAGTGCCGCAGGGTCTAGTAGTCGTAGGAGGGGATGGCAGTGGGGGAGCAGCAGGCACTGACGCTTGGCAGAAGCCCCTGCTTGGGTATCTGCTTCTGGCACGTGTCCTTCATCTGCTGCTGCAGATGGAGGGTAGTTGCAGGAGGGGATGATTTCTTATTTTATTTTTAAGGAAAAGAGAAGAGGCAGACTGTAGAGAAAACATTTATTGAGTGCAATAGGAAGCCATCTGATCAAAGCCCCGCTGTCAGAGCGGGCTGCTAAATCCGCCCTGGAAAGGCTGAAACGCCACCAGCCCTAACGACCAGATGAAAGTTAAAAAGTGACACCGTTCTAGTGCGAGGCATCGGTTAGGTGTGCAGCCACCTTGCACGAGGGGGTGACACGACACCCCGGAGAGCAGCAGCTGACGGGCTGTGCTCTTCTCTTGGATAACAGGATAGTCTTTGGTTAAAACGCTTGGAAGTGGGGCTCCCTTTTTAGGCAGTTTTCAGCATTTTACCCTGGACCACAAAGCACAGGGAAAGGGTGATGGAGTCCTTGTGCGGGAGGAGACAAAGCAGCTGGAGAGGAAACCTCAACCACAAAGGTGATATGGGAACTGGGAGGCAGGCAGGCTAACGCCACTGGTACTTGCTCAGGAAAACAAGTGCTTCTTGAAGGCACAGTAAAACCACAGGGCTGGTGAAGTATCTCTTGACCCAAGTCCAAAACTGACCTAGCTCCAGCTACAGTCCTGGAAACTCGGGTGGGCTTTACTCACCCATGTGCATCTTTGGCTCAAACATGTGCAACCCCTCCCAGTCAAATGAACAGCCTGGAGAGGAGAGGGAGCTCTTGGTGGTGTTAGGGCTGGGAAGTCTTCTTCTGAGTCCAAAAAAAAAAAAAAAAACCCCAAAAAAAGCTAAGGTCCAGTCTCAAATCAAATCAGGCGGGCGATGCTGCCGGAGAGGCCAGGCAGCTGCTGTTTTGGTTGGAAGCTCTAAGCCAGAAGGGTGGCAGCTGCTGCTTTGGGCAGGGTCCTCGCTTTCGGCAGCCTCCTCGCCTGCTCCCACGCAGCTGAAGCACGCCAGGGAAACGTGCTGCTCAGCAAGACACGCAGCCCAATTGTTCTCCTTGGCGGAGGGCAGCGGGATGCCAGGCATCATGCCCAGAGCCAGGGAGTGAGGCCCAGCCAGGTCTCAGCTCAGCCCAGCACCGTGCAAGGACAGCTAAAGGCGAGGGCTGAAGGAGGCTCAGAGACTTGCTCAGGATGATGCTCTTCTCTTGTGTTTACTGAGGGATCACAGGTCCCTTTATGGACGTTGCTGTTGGGCAAAAGGGCTTTTGAAAGATACCCAGTGTCTTCCGTCCCCCAAAATCTCACGCTCTCCCCATCAGCCATGTCGGAAATCCATCAGCCATGTCGGAAATCCCAGGCACCATTCCCATCTGCAGGCACCACTGCCCAGGCCATCCCTGTCCCTCGCCTCCAGGCAGGTCCCAGCCCCGCTGCCTGCGTGTCCTGCGGCTGGAGAGTGCTCGGCTGGTGGGTGCTGTGCAGCGAGAGGGTCCGGCCGATTGCAGCCTTCTGCTGGAGTTCTCCAGTGCTGGAGGACAGGAGGATGAAGGCAGAGCCCACCAGC